TTTTTTCTTGTATTGATTTTATTTTCAAAATTTCTTGAAATTAGTTTTTCTTTTCAATTTTAAAAAGGTTTCATTTATTTTATTATCTAAAGTAGTAATTGATTTTATTTTCAAAATTATTTAAGATTAGTTTTAATTTTAAATTAATTTTATTCATTTCATTATATAAAGTAGTTATTTATTTATTTTGATAATTGTATTGATTTGATTTTAAATTAAAATCGCTCTCTATTTTAAAATAGTAATTTAATTTTAAATTATATTTAAATTAATTTAAAATTTTCATTCATTAATTGTGATTTGATTTTAAATAGATTTTAAATTTTAATTATTATATTATCTATTAATTAAATAAATAGAAATATAAAAATTAAAGAAAAATGAAAAAAACTAAAAATGTAAAAAAAAAAAAGGGGGTTGAATCTGACAAGCCAATTGAATTAATTGGGGGGGAGTTTGATCATGTCTAAGTGATGAGATTGATCGGGTCTAAGCAAGTTTGACTGGATTTGGGTGGATTTTGATCAAATTTCACTTCAAATGAGTTGTTATCACAACTTAATTCGTTTTTAGAATTGGATCCCATTTAACTAGTTAAACTGGCTGGATCAGGTTAGGTTTCAAAACAATGGTACTAGTATCTCCGTTCAATTTTAATGATCTTATATTTAATTATTATATACTTATTAGTTAAAGGTGTCATTTAAAACTTTTATTTTTATTTTATTTTTATTTTATTTTTATTTTAGCAAGATATTTATAATATATTTTTTTGTATATTTGATAATAATAGATCATACAAGAGAAAATGATATTTTCCTTTTTTTTAATCCCTCTTCATCGGATTTAAGATTTAAATTTGAGATCTCTAACTTGAAATTTTAAATTCTTAATTATTGAATCACTTTTTTAAGGGTATACATATTTAAATAAATATATCTATTTAATTAGAAATTGTTAGGGATAACAATGAATTTTTATTAATGGGTTATATTCCTATTTTATTAAATAAAAAATTAAATCAAACTAAAGTTGAACGTTGAAATGTCCGGAGTATATTTTTTTTATTTTCTAATTTTCTCCATACCATTTATATTTTACATGGGTATATTATTTTCAAAATAAGTTTGTTAATTAATAACGATTTTTTAAATTTGCAGCTTAAATAAAAGTTAAGAGTATAATTAAAAATGAGTTTTAACAAAAAAAATTTCTAAGGAATCCAAAAAGGCATTCACTCTCCCATGTTAAATCACTAGTAAATAAATAAAAAATTTTTATTTTTTATTTTACTAACCATTTAGTATCTAAAAGTCATATTATATTTTAATTAATTTGAAGTTGAGTTGGATCGGATCTTAAAAAGTGAAAATTCTTTTAACTTTTGTTTTTTTATTTATAAAACTTAAATTTGAGATTTTAAACAAGGAAAATCAAATACTTTCTATTCAAATTAATAAGTCATTAATATAAATATTATCTTATAAAAAAGAAGTATATTCAAGTTGTGAGATTAAAAAAATTAATTTTTTTAAATATATTATGTTAATGTGGGATAATGTCTTTATATGCCTAAAATTTGATTAAAAAATACTCTTAAAGTATAAATATTAAGAAAAAATACGGCAAACATTTTGGTCATCGGTCAATGTTTTTCATTGTGCTGGAGTCAAGGCCACTCACTGAATTAAAGTATTGGCTCAAGGAGAAAAAAAATTTTCTACGGATCAATAAAGGCTTACATTTTGGTCATCGGTCAATGTTTTTCAGTGTGCCCGAGTCAAGACCACCCCATCGTCTCTAAGGTCTTCTGGTTGCTTAATTTCTTCCATTATATATATATATATATATATTAGATAACAAATTATATAGTAAAAAATGATATTTTTTTAAACTTTTTTCATCCATTTTAAAATTTAAATTTAAAAATTTTAATTAAAAATTTTAATTTTTAACAACTAAGATATCTCCTAATGAACTTAATATCTTCTTGTTTTGTTTTTTTCCTCTTCCATTGAATTTTGATTGTCTTAATTTAACTTCTTAAAATATCAACACTAATTGAAGTTAAAAAATTGACAAAATATATGATCATTAATTGAAAATTTTTTTTCCCATAAGTAGCTCTTGTTAAGTAGTTTTAATTAATTAAGAAAAATTCAATTATCATTTA